TTTTTAAATTATGTAGCTATGGTAGGGGGTGGGACATGCAAGTATAGTGTCTGTGGAGACCAGAGGTGTGGGGTCCCCTGGACCTGGAGTTAATAGGTGATTGTGAGCCACCTGATGTAGGTGTAGAGAACCTAACTCAGGTCCTCTGGAAAAGTAGGAAACACTCTCAACTGCTGAACCATCTCTCCAGCCCTGGAAACAGTTTCTTGTTTTGGGGGGGTTGTTTGTTTGTTTGTTTGTTTGTTTGATTGAGACAGGGACTCATGTAGTTTAGGCTGGCCTCCAACTCACTGTAGTCAACAGTTACCTTGAACTACTTCTGATCTTTCTGCCTCAGCTTCACTACTTGTGGGATTACGAGTATGCACGACCACATCCTGCTTTATGCAGTGCTAGAGATCAAATTTTTTGGTCTTTTTGAGACAGGGTCTCCCCGTAGCTCCAGCTGGCCTGGACCTCTATGTAGACCAGGCTGGCCTTGAACTCACAGAGATCTGCCTGCCTCTGCCTCCAGAGTGCTGGGATCAAAGGCGTGTGCCACCACACCTGGCCACGGCTAAAAATTTTATTGATAATAATTTTCTTCTCTTTTTTATTCTTTTGTGTATGTCGAACCCAGAGCTTCATACATGCCAGGCAAGTACTCTACCACAGAGCTTCATACATGCTAGGCAAGTACTCTACCACAGAGCTTCATACATGCCAGGCAAGTACTCTACCACAGAGCTTCATACATGCTAGGCAAGTACTCTACCACAGAGCTTCATACATGCTAGGCAAGTATTCTACCACTGAGCCGTGTCCCCATCCCTTTGGAAACTTTGTTTTTTACATTTATTCATTTATGGGGGTTGCATGTAGAGGACAACTTGGGGAGTCAGTTCTCTCCTTCCACCATGTGGGTCCTGGGGATTGAACTCAAATCCTCAGGCTTTCACACAACAAGAACTTTTACCTAGTGAGCCGTTTCACCACCCTTGGAACTTTTTTTTTTTTTGAGTCAGGGTTTCACTAACTGTAGCCATAACTAGCCTGGAACTCACAGAGCCTGCACCACCACCACGCCTGACTCTAGCGTGGAAAACTTAAAAAAAAACTTTTTTTTTTTTTTGGTCTTTTTGAGACAGGGTCTCCCTGTAGCCCCAGCTGTCCTGGAACTCACTGTGTAGACCAGGCTGGCCTTGAACTTACGGAGATCTGCCTGCCTCTGCCTCCCAAATGTTGGGATTAAAAGTGTGCACCACCACGCCCGGCCTCAAAAAAAATTTTTTTTTTAGATTTTTATGTGTAAGTGTATTGCCTGCATGTATGTAAGTGCACCTGTGCAGTGCCCTCAGAGGTTAGATGTTATCAGATTGCCTAGAACCAGAGTTATGGATGGTTGTTAGCTGCCATGTGGGTGCTGGGGATCGAACCTGGGTCCTCTGCAAGAGCACTTAATGCTTTTAACTACTGCACCATCTCTCCAACTCTTAAAACTTTTTTACTACAGTTGTATATTTTGTATGTGTTTGTGTGGATGTGTGCCACAGCACGTATGTGGAGGAGTTCATTCTTCTTCCACCATGTGTGCCCTGGGACTTAAACTCAGGTTGTCAGGCTTGGCAGCCAGTGCCTCTATCTGCTGAGCCATCTTGTTGGCCACGAAATTTTTTATTTACAGTGTGTGTGTGTGTGTGTGTGTGTGTGTGTGTGTGTGTGTGTTTCACAGTGCATGGTGGAGGTCATTACCCCCCCCCCCGGAATCTTTTTAACAAATTCACACTGATTCCTTGAAGGGAGCACTTTTCTCCCCAAATATGAAAGCAGTCGACCCTTAGTTGGTGTACTCCATCCGCTGTCGGAACTTTTTTCCCCCAGATTATAAACCCAAGATGAGGCTTTCTATAAATAAATGTCAAATAAAAGTCAATATATTTATTGAATCCCTCCTGTATACATATGTCTGTATATGGGGAGTTACCATACATGTTGTCAGTTGAGGGAGCGAATAATTGCACATAAAACTTAACTAGAAGATAGCATATGACGTAAATGATATTCATATCCCGTAGTATTTTTCCTTTTTTAAAAAAGATTTTATTTTTATTTTTTAAAATATTTAT